TGAGTTTGTTGTTGTTTAACAAATAAGTTTTGCATACTAGCACTGGAATTATGCGCAAATGATGGCACATTTTGTGTATTGCCTTGTACATTCTGAGGACTGTTGAAAATATTTTGCTGACTTCCATATTTAGGCTGGGACAAATAACTCTGCAAATTTTGAGGCGATGCAAAATTTACAGGTTGTCTCTCAGAATTAACATTTTGAGATGTATTTCTCAAAACCGTTGAGTTAGGATTACGTTGATTCATCATTTGAGGAGAATGGTTAGGATTTATAAGTTGTGGCATAACATCTTGATTTTGAGTAGTTGTAGGTATATTCAAAGATTCATTCCGACCAGTCTGATTAAATGAAGATACATTCATGCTAGATTGTCCCAGAGAGTGTCCAGATGGATTTTGCATAATAGAAGGCTTTTGACTTGCATTATCAAAGTTTTCAAATATTGTAGGTACATAGCTTGTATCACTTGATAGGCCTGTAGTCTGAGAAGTAGATGTCCTTTCAATTATAGTAGATTCAGTGGAAGGGAAATTAGCAGTTCCCTTTTTACCATCGGATTCTGATAATGTATTATGACTTGAATTTGTTGGTGAGACTTGAGTTATAGAAGGCATATTATGTGAATTAACATCTTGACTTCCTTGTACATTTGAAGACAAACTAACAAATGCAGAAGAGGCATTGCCAGTATTATTCAGAGGAGCAATATTTGTGGCACTAGAATTGAATTGGTTATGGGGATAAGGAATTGTGGCAGGATTACATTGTTGTGTTTGCGTAATAGTTGGTAAAGGAGGCCTAACATTCAAATGCATATTTTGCTGTCCATTAATCGGTGGCATAGGAGGTCTTGGTAATTGTGGTCTATATTGATTGTGTAAATATTGAGTTGGAGATGGATCTCTCGATGTTTCTCTTGATGGATCACGAGATGATTGTGATGATGGTGTACCTAAAAATTATTAAATACTATACAAATAAAATACTAATGCTTTTTTCTAACAATAAAGTTCATATCTGTTATTAACATGCACATACCAGTTAGATTAGAATGTGGTGATTGCATGCCGTTTTGTATATGTTGATTAACAGTAGATTGACCATTTACTATCGGTACTCGTTCACTTTTTAAGGAATTATTAGGATCTACATATGATTGATACTGATAATCACCTGGATGAGACATGTTGTTCTTTCTTTAAAAATCACTGAAACAAGGCGAAGTATACAATCGCATGTTTTACAAAAAAGTGTTAGAAAGTATAAGTAAATCTTTAATACTGTTAATAATTTTTATTACAAAATTAATATATAAAAAAGAAAGAAAAAGTGTTCATTATACAGAAAGAGTCTCATATATTTTTTTGATTAATACAATATCTTTCATATTTACAATTATTATCATCAAAATTTACAAAAAAGATATTTATACAATCACAATAAGATGTTGTTTAAAACTAAATACATACTTATAAAATATATATATTAAACGTGAAATTCTCTTTATATAATTATACTTCATAATGGTAGAAAGAAAAAATGAAAGTTTATAAAATATAATTAAACTCGATTTTCTATAAGAAAATAGTAAATAGAGCATCTCATGATCAATCAATGAAAAGAAAAAGAGAAAATTTAAGACAATTATTATTAATGTATGTTTCAAATAAATTAAGACGTAATAAATAATATCGTCATATTTAGCAATGGAATTGAGATTAAAGAAATAAAACCAAAATAATGTTCGGGTCATCAAAGTATCGTGTCATCAGCTGACCTTTCAATAATTATGACAGTTCGAAATTAGAAATGTTCACGGAAAGAATTAAATATTACAATATTGATCTTTTAAATTTTTCTTCAAAGAAATCTTTCCTACAATTAGATTTTTTACGTTCAGACAAAGTAGGATATCTAAATGAGCTTTTGAGCACGCGCTCGAAAGGTTAAAACGTCATCTAGTAAAAAGCAGACCGACGTGTCTGACGGACAACCTTCGACTTATTTCGAATTCAATCACCAATCTTTCGGCTTACCTTCTCGATGAGATTCTTACAAAGAAGATCGACCGATCTTATATTTTCTCGATTACACAGCCGCACATCGCAAACATTAACAATAAATTTTACGTAAATCTTTTCACAAACGCAACTTATAAACGGCACACACAACATTACGTGGCAGAGTGAGCGACTGAAGCGACGTACTCTTCGATGTGGTAAGTATACGAACTAATAAGGGCGACGAATGAGGACGTCACTGACGTGAAAATCGAGGGTGTGTTCGATTACTGTGCTTCTTCGATCAATTTAAATAATGCGCTACATTTAAATAATGCAATACTGAAAAAAAAAATAATAATAATAATAAAGAAAAATAAAAATGAAATCAATATAAATAATTTAAAAAATTACATTAGTTTATTATACTTTATTCGATTTTATCGAACTAAATAAATTACAAATTGGTATAACCTTACTATTGGCATAAATGATGAATACGTATGTTTATTCAAATTGATAAGATATCGTATATCTATCATTTTTCATTTTGAAATGTTAATTTTTTCTTCACAGTTGTATTTTGAATGTACTTGTCAAAGAAATAATATAACCTCGTTATTAATAAATTCTGTTGGATAAATTTTAAATTCCGCTTTCTAAACGACGTCATCCAGAACGGAAATTTTTTTAATTTGTATTTTTACTTGCTACATCAAAGTCAATTCGATTATCAAGTAACTTATATTGTTTATGTACATGTGTGTGTGTGTGTGTTTATATGTGTATATATATATATACACACACAGTATAAACATATATATGCATATATAAACATATATATATGTATGTGTATTGTATCTACGTCACTGCATTCGATGTATCGTAACCATGACTACGGGATAGATGAAAAAGAAGACATCCAATATAAAATGTAGATGTAGTAGTATGTAAAATATACGTACACGAATCAGTATTACGACATTTTGCATAAAACAGTTGTTAATGTCAAGGATAATAATATCTGTCAAAGTTTTCACTAGATTTTTAAGAGTACGACACTGTAGCCACCTTTTAAACGGAAATAACACACGAATAAACTTACGCAATTACCAATCGTGGTCTTTGACCCTGAATCTAACCTGTGCACGTGTTGCGTCGTGTGATAAAAACACGATTTTGGCATGAAACTATCTTCCTTTATCGATTGCCAAGAATCGAATTGTGACACTGCTAAAAATTGATTGATGAAAATCGAAAATAATTCTAACGGCGAATATCGAAATATATTAATGAAAGAATAAAATTATTAAAACGACAAATATGGAGAACAACGAGGATAAGATATTAGATGAGGAACAATGGAAGCTGGAAGCACAGGCTGTCATCAACGATATCAAGAATCACGTGAACGACGTAAAATTATCCGACAGATTGTGTAGTACGAATCGAGTTATCTATCTCAATTTAACAACATTGGAGAATTCAAAATTTTGCATTGAATTATCCAGTGCAGGTTTTACAATCGTTGGAAACGAACACGACGACACTTCCAATAAGGGAAATGAATATTTTGAAACGCCATACAGTTTATTGAATTTCACAAGTCCACAATATAGAGATTCATTCGGCAATTTGTTGTTAGAAAAATTAAACAAATTGAATCAAGAATAAAATGAACGATATTTTTTAAAAAAATATATATTTATCTATATTATATAGTTCTGTTTGATTTTATCTTCTAATGATCTACGGTTTTTTCTTTTTTCTTTTTTTTTTTTTTTTTTTTTTTTTTTTTCAGTAAAATAAGACAATTATATATGAAAATAATGTTACGTGACGTGATCAGAAATGCTACTTCTAGAAAACGAAGCATACGGAATCTATGAAAAAAAAAAAAAAATGGTATTTGTCCTCGAAAATCGACAAAGTTCGTGCGACGTACAAGGACAGTACCGTAATTATTACGTTAATTATACAATACGGTTTCTATTGAAATGATATATCTTGTAAAACAAAACACTGGTATCTTTGTCAGTTGTGTGTCATAAAGATAATATTCCATGAATTCTAACGAACATGTAAATAAGTTTTATTCTGGTATTTGTGAAACCATAATTTTTTTTTTTCCTTTTTTTTTCCTAAACTATATTCTTATATATCACATTCAATGATCATAATTTTGTAAATATTAATACGTAGTAATCTTTAAAGATGCAGGACACGATCATTCTTTGCTAAAAATAATCCTTTTCGAAATTAATTTTTATTAAGAATATTTTTAACGATAAAATATGTATATCCTCCTGTCCTTCTTGCCGAGGAGCAAGGTTTTCTTTTATGAAAAGAAAAAAAAAAAAGAAAGAAAAGAAAAGAAAAAATTATAAAATTTTAAATAATGATTATAAATAATTTGTAATAATAGAGATAACGAAGAATAGAACAAAGTACATACAACACTGACGTATTCTGCGGTAAACGCATAACTTTGCGTGTCCCTAGTAACAGCAGCCATTATCCCTAGAACTCGACGGATTCATCGACGCGTCCTCCCTATGTGCAAAGCCCATCATCTATCTTCCTCTTCTACCCCCTGCACTTGTCATTCTGTGGTTCGACGTATTACACCGCGAAATGAGACACTTTCGAAGAACCTGACATACTGCGTGTTGTATATAATTTGTGTCTCTATGTGATTGTGTTAGTATTGTGTTACGTACACACGCGCAGAACAATCATACGCGCCGTGTTACTGCGTGCACCCGAAAGATTCTGAATGAGTTTTAGTAGCGTCGATATCATATACGATCGAACGACGTCGCTCAAACCTCCTGACGATATCGTTAACGTCGTCGCATAGAAGAAGTGACGAATCGCGACAATGACACACCCGTGGAAAGTTATTACGAATACAATAACGATTCTTTAACTATTAATCTAGTGAAGAAGGAAAGAAGATATAGGGAGGAAACGGAAAGACATAAAGAAAACGGAGCAAAAAAAAAAACAGAAAGAAACGATAAAGAATATTATTCGTCAAATAAAACTAATATTAATGATATTTTCTGTGTGACATTATAACGAATTAAATGAGAACATGCTACAACCACGAACGTGCATTGTAAAATAGAAGAAGGTGAGTTAGTTTTATCGATATATTTTCGCATATAGTCGTATTGGAAAAAAATAGGAAGAGAATGAGATAACGAGAGAAAGAAAGAGAGAGAGAGAGAGAGAGAGAGAGAGAGAGAGAGAGAGAGAGAGAGAGAGAGAGAGAGAGAGAGAATGTGTGTGGAAGTCGGGCGTGCGAATTGACAGGTCAAAAAGTTTGTTTTTATTTGAAAATCATTCTGTTTTTATAATGAAATCGTATATAAGGGGTGGAATGATAAAGTTGCTATTGGTTTAAACGAACGTACAACTAATGATATACCGTTTTACGTGTCCGCAGTAAGACTGTGGCGATTTCTTGGCGTGCCATAAGTTAGTGAAAATATAAGAAATTCTACTCGTATGGCTCCATTTTCGACGCTTTGATGATCGAGAGAAAGTTAATAACGAATATTAAGGTGTATAAATTTTCTTGATATTTATTGTTGCTTGTATGTTATATCTATTCTGTAACAACCAGGAAGGATCAAAGCCAATTCTATTTTTGATTGAAAAGTTTTATCTTTACATAAGAGAAATGGTAATTTGAAAAGTCATTTGTTTCTCAAATATATTCTCTTTTTTTCAATTATTGTCATATATCAATGTTAATGTTATAACTTATTTCTAAATGTATATATTAATTCAATATATTTAAATCTCACATAATAATTACAATATTATAATATATTAAATTATATGTGAATGATTTATTTTTAAAGTAATATTACTGCCAAAGAAAAATTTATTGTTCTTTTTTCTTTGTTTTATTGATTGATCATTGAAATCATTTTTATATAAGATGTTACGCGTCATGTTCCCATATTATGATAATCACAATGACTCTTCAGTTAGATTAGGTCAAAGGTTGTTCTATACTAGATACTACTAGAAAAGTTGTATAACTCTATTAAGATAATGGATTCATATTTGTAGTCATTTTTAATATCCTTTAAAAATATTGGATATTTACATTCCATATCTTTATATATATTTATTTGATATTTATTTAATCTTGATAAAAATTCATATAATAAGGAAAAAATTTCTTATCACAAAATACATTAGTATTATGGATTTATCTTTTAATACATTCATATTTATTATTATATAGGTAGAATTGACAGCTTATAATATGGAATGATTCAAATATATTAATCTTTTGTCTACATTTATATATATTGCTGATTTGTATTGAGAATATCTTTTATCTTATCCTGAATCATCTGATAAAAATTTCTAATAAAAAGTCTATATGAATACAGATTCAGTGCAACATGTGGCATTTTTCAAATATCCTAGTAATAAACTTTATTAGAAGAAAGGAATGGCTAGCTTGATGGTGACTTCGTCAAGTAAGAACAGCTCACGTAGCACTTCTCCTACTAGAGGGAATACATCTATATCTCAAGCACATCACCAACAATCAGCTAGTTTGGAACATACACCAAAAGCGCGTAATGCTCCAATGTAAGTTGTTAATTTTTAATTGAACTAAATAATGCATTTTTTAAATATTTGAAATGGAATATTACATAAATCTTGCTTTTTTTATAGCTACCAGACAGGAGAGGGTAGCACAGGCAGTGGTAGTAGCTGTGGTGGTTGTGGGAGTAGCTTCAGCATGAAAGGTAGCAGCAGACAAAGATCACCAGGTACTATAATCCGTATGGATGTTATGGATGAATCAAATGGCAATCCAATCACTGCCGAATCAGATGAGTTTGTGCCAAATGTTCAACCTCCAACCGATGATGAAGGAGTACGTATTATGCTGAATTATAATTAAATATATAACTTATTATATTCTTAATGTTATTTAAACATTTACACAATATTATTTGTCATATAATAAAAACGATATTTTTACACCAATAAATTTACACAAAAATCTTGTGATAAAATACTATTGTGTTTGCATTGGTTTTTGTATAAGATTGCAAGGTCACCAGTTATAACAATATAATAGATTAAATGAAGAATTATTTATATAATATTATTAATGAATTCAATATGAGACTCAAAGTCTTAATTTTTGTATCAAAAAAGAATTCTTTATACACTGTGTGTTTAATATTATGATATTACATTATAAAAATATATAAATTTCAATGTATTTTATATTATATAATGTTTATTTGTAGGAACAATATCATACCACGCAATCGTTCCTATCTAATGGCTCTTCTGAATTAATAAGCGATGATGTGGACTCAAGCGCTGCACGAGTTCGACAAGCGATCGAACATATTCAAAGTAAAATAGCTAGAACACGTGAACTCATACGTATTGAGCAAACAACTCGTGATGGTGAATTATATCTTATTTGTACTATTATTATTATATTACTATGATGTTAGATTTAATGAAATTAATATCTTTATATATTCATTGTAGAAAATGTTAATGAATATTTGAAATTGGCTGCAAATGCGGATAAACAACAATTAACTAGAATTAAGACAGTATTTGAAAAGAAAAATCAGAAATCGGCGAATAGTATTTCTCAGTTACAAAAAAAGTTGGACAGTTATCAAAAAAAATTAAAAAATTATGAAATGAATGGTGCCCCCGCAGGTCATAGACAACCAAGAGAAGTACTTCGTGACATGGGACAAGGATTAAAGTACGTATTTTAACTTTAATATTTATATTTATTTAATTAAATTTGTATTAGCTTTATAGTATAAATAGTTAAAACTCTTATGAGTTGACTTTTGCTTATTTTTATACTTCAAGTAAACAAAGAGTTATGGTGTTTCTTGTATAATGGGTACTATTTTTTAATATAGCATGTTTTATATATACATAAGCATCACTATGCACATTGCATGATATATAATATAGCTTCTTGCTATTTTTTTTGCACAAATTAAACTCATGTCAATTTGATTCTATGATATGGTGTCTGTTGGTCTTCACATTTTGTTTTCTCTATCCTCTACACTCATTGCTAAGTATAGAGAGTGATTTTTTCTTCTAATTTGAGACTCCCTTTCAGAAATGTGGGTGGCAATATTAGAGACGGAATCACTGGTTTTTCAGGATGAGTGTTATGATAAAAATAGATTGTGATCCAACTATACTAAATATTCATTATCTGTTATTAATTAATTTAATTAAGATTTAATTTTCTACGATTATTATATATCAAAAGAAAATATAAAAATTGTGTATACAGTTGAGGTTAGAAAAAGACTTACTTATCCAAAAGTTTTTGTCAAATATTAATCATTGATTACTTTTATATATTTATGTAAAATAAGGATTTATACTTTCAATTTGATATACGTTCTAATAATATCGAATTGCTTCTTTTTTACAAATTGTATATTTTAAAATATTTCTTTATTTTATATATGCATCCATGTAAATTAAGTATTTAAGATAATATATCTTATATTATTATGTAATTTATGAAATTATTATTTGTATGATAGATATGAAATTTAAATTTCAGCATATACAGATTGTTTTGAATTATTGACTTCTATTTTAGGAGTGTTATGTCAAAACCAAGGGAGTTTGCACATCTTATTAAAAATAAATTTGGGAGTGCTGACAATATAAACACTTTATCACGTGAGTAATATTTATAATACTTATTTTATGATATTTTGCTATATCTCAAAATATTGCTACAAATTTTATTGTAAGTTTTAAATTATATAATATTTGTTCAGCTTATAATTAAAATTAGAATGTAATTTAATAAGTAGTTACGTAGAACATGCACTTCCTTAACAATATGATATTTTATAAGACTTACTTTATCTGGTACTATGCACTTTCACATACAGTAGAATATACATTTTTTCTAGTGTAAATTCAACTATTGATATCTGTTTTATTATATTTAATATATAATTTTTCTAAGTGTTGCACTATTGTCTGATTTAACCCTATCTGAAAATAAATCTTAGTATATTAAAGGATCCATGATATATATTTAAAAAAAAAAAAATAAATTTTCTTTTTCAAATTATACGAGTTGTGCATTTATATTTTAAAATAAATATTTTTTGATATGTTGCGCTATCATGGCAGTTGAGAGTAGTAAGTAATATGTCACAACCCAAAATTCACTTTGCGTCTATCTATTCCATGTTTTTATATTCTGTATATAATCTTTCCTATTCACTTCAATATTTTATGTTAAACGGGAAATGTGTTATTGTGTTTATTTATATTCAGTATCTTGTGATCTTACAAATATGTTAAAAGTTATTACAAAAAGAATTGTTTTGTAATGTTTTATATTGTAGATTATCATTTTAATTGTTAAAATAATTAACAAATTTCTGAAGTTCCAGTATATAAAATAAATATCAACTTCATAGTTAGCACTTATATTTTTAACTTTATTCGTTAATTTAATGATAATTTTATTATAAGGTGTTTGGTTGCTTCTGTGAATTGTATATTTCTATAATGCTTTCTTTGATAGTAGTTATCCAATACTATTAAAAATGATACCTTGATTTTTATTAAATGATATTGTAATATATATACATATATATATTAAAAAAATTGTTTTATTTATCTAATCATACAGTTTTATTTCTGTATTATACATTCGTTTTATTCAGAAACATATTTTTATAATATTAAAACAGAATAGAAAGACAGCAACAACTAGTGTTAGTTGTTAGTAGAGTTTATATTTTGGTATTGGATAACGATCTAACTTGCAACCTCTATGTCTCTGCAGATGGCTCAACTTTTTATGTAAACGATACACCACATGCAGGTAATGGTGATAATGGTAGTGTTGAAGAAGAAAAGACTCATCATGGATCAGCTACTTTACCTGGTGGCTGTAGTCTTGGATCTACACATAGTGCTGCAGCAATGAAATTTCCATCAGAAGAAGGCTCAGAATGCTCTAGTGTAACGAGCGAAAGTGGACCAGGTAGTAGAGGCCAAACACATACTTGTCACAGTAATAATGCCGCATTAAGTTTCAAATCCATCTTCTCGGAACTTCAAGAAAACAGAGACAGCCTTGAACGGATGAGAGAAAAATTAGAAGGCTTAAAGGTTCGTTTATTATGCATAAACTGTATATACAAAATGGGAGAATATTTAACTTCAATAATGGCTAATTTTCATTATTTCTATTATGAAATTAAAAAATAAGAATTATATGAAATAGTGCTTTCATTTAGGCTTTGCAACAAGAAGTAACATATTTATCACATGGTTTACAAGAAGAACGTTTTCGATGCGACCGTCTTGAAGAACAAATCAATGATCTAACTGAACTCCATCAGAATGAAGTAGAAAATTTAAAACAAACAATTACAGATATGGAAGAAAAAGTACAATATCAAAGTGAAGATCGTTTAAGAGACATACATGAAATGTTAGAAAGTTGTCAAACAAAAATATGTAAAATGGAACATCAACAGCAGCAACATCAACAGTATGTTACATTAGAAGGCCTTGACAATAGTAATGCAAGGGCTCTGGTCGTGAAGTTGATAAATGTAGTGTTAACAGTACTGCAAGTTATTTTACTCCTTGTTGCAACAGGTGCTGGTATTATGATGCCATTCCTTAGAACCAGGTAACATCATTTATTATTACTATTTACCTAAATAATTTTTTTATACAAATTTTTAGTTAGTAATTTCGTGAATTATTTTCTCATGTAAAAAATATCATTTACATTCATTGTTATTACGTTTTTTTAATATGCATTGCAATAGTAGGTATCACCTATGATAAATTAAGCCCTTTTGCTGTTTTGAATATATTGTCATAAAAAAGTTGTTATATGTACATAAATAGATATATATATATATATATATATATATATATATATATATATATATGTGTGTGTGTGTGCGTGTGTGTGTGTGTGTGTGTGTGTGCGTGTGCGTGTGCGCGTGCGTGCGTATACTATGTATCTACAAAATCGTCGTTTAATTAATATCGTAAAACATTTAAGACAACATGGACACCATACATGCATGAAATTTAATTTTGCTCACTCATTTTTTTGTTTTGTTTTCACACGTTTGTTACAGCTGTACTAAGCCTCATTGTTTCATGTGCAGGGTGCGCATACTAACGACCACATTCGTTGTATTGGGTATAGTGTTCGTGCTCAAACAATGGCCTGAGGTGCATGATGTTGGAAGTCACCTCATACGCCATCTTAAACAAACACTCGCCGTGAAGTAGCATTGTAAGTTATGTGAAGATTTTTATCTATAAATATTTTTAAAATATACAAAATTCTTTTAAATAATTAATTCTTCTATATAAATATTATTTATAAGCAAATTTATGGTTGCAATTAAAATACATGAATAGAAAATTTACATTAGTTTTTTTATCTTTACATAAATATATAAATAAGATTTCATTTTTTCTAAAGGCACAATATTAATATATTTGTTTTAATTCATTTTTATTTCATGCTTTTTATATCATGTATGTGATTCCAACTCTCTTTCTCTTAATATTTTGAATAAGTTTAAATATTTAAATGGAATTGATTTTAGGGTGGTATACTTAAATTTAATGAATCCAGTGATGGTGGTGCGAAATTGATTATAATAATCAACGTTTGGAGCCATTTACCAATGCTGCATTGTTGGAGCAATAACATCATATGTGCGCAAATATAATTGTTTTTGTTTTTGATGCATATTTGATTTTAGATGCATTATTATTATTGATTTAATTAATATAAAATGCATCTATTTGCAGTCATTGTCCAATTGATTGATAAAATAATTGATTTGCAAATACCTGTGTAATAGCAGGAATTCTTTTCAGAAAGACTATTAGAGTAAAAAGAGCATATCTTAAGCATTCTTTAAATTTATATTAAAATTCGTTTCTTACATTATTTGTATATTTAAATCTTATCTAGAATCATTGGAATGAAGTTTCATCTTGTATGATGATCCAATTATTATTCTTTATAAAATAAAGTCCCATTTTTCTTTGATGGAGTACAGGAAGAGCGATTGAAGAAATGTATATCCTAATGTATTTGAACTGTATTATGAAACGATATTACAGTCATGGACATTTAACATAAGATGTCAAGACATGTATATGATCACTTTTCCATGTAATGCTACTTAACACTGACCTTTAACACTAAATGAGGACTTAAGAATTGAATAATATAATAAAAGAAACTGCTGTCTTCAGTGTCTGTGGTTGGTCTAATCATGTCATGCTATTTTGGGATGGGCTTATTCTACATAAAAAAATTATTATATATCATATATCAAAATTTAATATTGAGTCCAAAAGTAGTCAATAGTCATGAGTCACAGAAGTTCATTATTTAACAATGGTTATTAAGATGATACAAATTAATATTATAATAGTTGATAGTCCATCAATGCAATAATAAAAAATTTCACTTACAAAAGTTATTAAAATATTCGCTATATATGATAATTCTTCTAAAAAATATTTCAATATAAATCTGATAATATTGAATGTCAGAAGAGGTCCAAATATTTTTATCTTATTATATCATACCAGTTAATTATTTTATGTATAATCTAGATTGTAGAATAGTTAATGACAGATATATTATGTATAAGCATTGTATTTCTTTGTTAAAGAAATATTTACCACCACAGACACACAAAAAAAAAAACAAATGTGAATGTATATTTTATGAGTATAAAGAAATGATCCATGACAGATAATCGAAATGAGAGAAAGACTGATGGACTAACTGGTTTACGTCACTATTACCATTGTGAATAACGTAATTAATTCACTGCAATTTCATGGAAGTGTAATTTGGGGTACATCGGTAAACATTACACTATTAGAATGATATAGTGAAATGATAAAAATTGATGGCAGTGTACAAGTGATAGCTGAGTTTCAGAATCTTTAATACGCTAGAAAGATTGCTGTCAAGGTACAGAATTGCAAAATATGACAGAATATTTTGCTTGAAAGTTGCATCAATATATCACCATTACTTAATAGTGAGATAAATATGACCTGACACTATTTTGCTATGCACTTTCTTCCTTTTCTCACATAACGACATAACAAAACTTTACATTATATAGTTTGTAAATAAATATTATAATATTCTATAGAGTTCCATTCTGTAGAAGTAAAATGGTTAATAAGCTGTCTACAAAAGCATTTGCTTTACATTGTTGCTCTTATACACTTTTTGCACAACAGAAGCTTATATTTTTTGTCCATAATTTAAAGTAAATTTATCCGGATTCCTATCACAAATTTATACAAATCAAATAATGCTGTTACTGCTTTTAACAACGCATAATATATGTTGAAAAAACAAATACTAAATAAATTCACAATTTCGTAATTCCTAACAGAGATATGTATAAATAAAGAAATTATTGACAATATCGATTTTGCTTTTTGTCTATCATTGATGAGTATACCATCAAATTTCCTAATTTCAGCTGTGATATGTTCTCCAGCTTCCTAAATTGAGAAATATAATTCTTATAGGTATTTTTAACTTGTCAATATTATTATAATTTAACATATATATCATCTTCACAATTTTTTTTTCATATTTCTGCTAACACAAAAAAGTGTTTATTACACAGCATGAAAATCGAAAATAAACGATAATAACAATTTTGTTAATTAACAGGAAATGCAAAGTATACAAGCATCATCAATATTTCTTAATTTTGTAATAAAAATGTTTAGCATTAAATTCTCTCTGTTAATTATTAAAATAATGTATATTTGCATTATAGAATTAGCAATAGTGAACATTGTCGAACTACGTACATATATTCAATCGTTTTTATTTTCTTATTTTTCAATCAAATCAAATTTTATATACAACGTTATTGTTTATGTGGATTGTTGAAATTAGTTTATATAAATATTAAGAATTACTAGTTTGAATTTAAAAAATGCTGTGACACACTGCTAAGTTTATATATAAGCTTAGCATTTAAGAGTCAGTTTTGGGATCAATATATTCACACTTGAACGATTTAAATGCATTATTATACGCGCAATGTACGTAATGTGTAACTTATTAGAAGTATAGTTACAAATGAACATTTAGAATGTATTGAAGATAAAATATTAACATGTTTAATCCTACTAAATATTTCATGTTGATGATTTGTGTCGTAAATTATTTAAATTATTTCTAATATATCTTATATAAGTTAATTATCTATTATAATTATGTAATGAATAGACGAATATATAGGGTGTCAATTGATATATTTCTGTATTACTCTGTGATTAGTCTTGTGGCTGTGCTAAAATTTATCTTTCTGCATAATATTATATTTCTTCTATTTAAAAAAAGAAAAAAAAAAGAAATAACTACGTTTATAATAACTTCTTTGTTATTAATATAAAATATTAAAGCACAAATTATATTTTAGTAATTTAAAATAATTAAATAAAGAAATCTTTGGAAATGATCTATTTTACAGTTCAATGCAATGCTAAGTGACACCCTATATATAAATATTACATATACGTTAGACTTGGTGCTTTGTAATATAAATATATGACGTTATTGATAAGATTTAGTAATGTAATTGATTATAGGGAGGACCCCTGTATGGATGCTTTTTAAATCATAATAATGTGTAAAAATGAAAAATACTAAAAGGCACAATATCTATCTAATCAAATAGTTGATATTCTACGTTCAAGTGGAATTTTCGGAAATTTATCAAAAATAGACGTATTTTGTACTTTATATTATATTACAATTTTCTATAAGCTTTTTTTTATATCAGCGCTATTTACAATTTTATATGTATTTTGTAATTATGAAGCTGCATCAATAGATGTGAAAAATATTGTGTTCGCTTCATAATTTACAGCAATAAATCATTGAAGTCAATGGAAATTATAATAAGCAGTACTACAGGGGTCCCATATATATGTACAATAGAGATAAAATGAGGTGATAATTACACGCATTGTTATTGATGCCTTGCATAGATAGTTAACGTTAAATCATAGAATAAATATTCATTGTCAATTGTAGATGATGTGGATAACACAGGCAGCAATTACAAAATCTTTCATCATATATACATATTTATATATGATGATTAGACAAACATTGATGATAATAAGACAATTAAAATTTACGTTTGGATTTAATTACACCAATATATATATATATGTGTTCTGCAACATTTGTTATATTGATTTAGATTGTAGCTGCGTGTGAAATCTAAAATCCATGTAGCTATTCGTGCCACTATGTAATTATTAATATTACCATAAAATAAAACAATTTTTTTTAAATAGACAATTGCTTTTACTAAACTTTTTTTCATCTTTATTACATTATACAAAAATAAATATAAATCGACATACAATAAAATAGATATATATGTAGTTATAATTTTTTCACAATTCATTCCCGAATTTAATACGATATGTAGCATTATTTTTTTTTCCATATTTCTTTGTATAATAATTAAAATTTTTCTACTGAGTTAGATTAATAATTTTGTGTAAATATTTATTGTCTGAAAAAAAATAATTTTTAACACTATAATTTTACATTAAATAAATACTGTTAATCGTTTTAGATTGATAAGAAAATGCATTAAACACAATTTTCTTTGGTGACATTAAAATCGTATGACGCAAAATATTGTATTATATTACAATATTTTGTATAAACTGTACGAAAAAATATTTTGAGATAGCATATTTCATATGTATGTGTATGTGGATATATATATATATGTCGTATTATATAAAAATATATTATATCAAATATTTTGAAATCAGTATCATGGAAATGCAACTTCTACAAATATATGTGGGTTTAATATTCTTAAAGAAAACTCAGAGAAAAGTGTGAAGTTCATATATTTGCAGCCAAAGGACTTCCTTAATGATAACAATACAATCATAATAATTTTACAAATATAATCAATTATTTTATTAAGTATATATCACAATTGCTACTTTGTATAGTGCTGAAAGCCATTGCAATAGGAATGAGAAATTATAAGATAAGTAAAACAAAAAAGCACAAATAAGTTATCTATAAAATAAAAAAATATGTATTCTTGATGTTCTTAAAATTAATTTTATTTTTATGTAAAAATTTGTGTTACACACAAAACACAATTACCTTTTGAGAGTTTTTTTTCTATATAATCAAAGAAAAGATCTATACATTTCAGCTAAATATTATTATTTTATGCTTTATTTTTGTAAATACAAGAATATTATTTTATTTTGTAAAATAAGATGATATGACTTTATAACAATAAAAAACATGAAAATAAATCTTATACATATAAAATACAAAATTGAAGATTTATTTTGTAGACATATTAAAATAATAAACATAGTTCATTTTGTACAATACATCATGATTGACTTCAAAATAAATACATTTTGTATATGTTTCATTCGTTTAAATACATTTCAAACATATAAAATGTAAAATGGCAGATTACATATAATAAATTATTATACTTATGTCATATATGACCTAGCAGAATTTTTAAAAATTGGCAAATAATTTTTTTTAATTTTATGAAGAAAAATACAATCCATGTAAGTTTTCTTTGATTTATTTATGTTATTTTATTTTATTGAAAGGTGTAAAATATATCAAAACAGTAATAATCCTCTTTATTTTAAAGCACTTTCAGAAAGTATGTGTTTTGTATGTGGAAAAGGACAGGACTTATAGACATATTGAAATATTTTACTGCGATCGTCTATTTAAGAAACTTACTCATGTTTTCTCTTTTAATAGGACCAAATTGAAGGTAGTTGACTTCATAGACATTAAATATCTAAGATTTTATTTTAATATCAATTCTGCAATATATATGAATGAAAGATATGATTGAACCTGCATTCCTTGAATTTAAGCAAGCATATGAATTTTTATAAAATAATATCCTTGAAAAAATATTTTTCTTGCATAAACTTTTACAATATGTTACATGTCCCAAGACATAGCATGGTGCCTACAACAATAGAGCAAACAATAAATGCAGGTCAAATATCTTTATATAATAAATACAAATGAAATTTGTTATTTCCTACCTTTTCCTATTTTTGTTAATTTCAATTTATATTTTAGATTTTTTTTCAGTTTCTTTTTTTCAATCAGCAGTAATATGAATTCCTTCATGTGATTCTCTAAGCACTATTTCTGTTGATATAATATGTTTCACTTCTACATCCTCATTAGAAACTAAAACATTTTTTTGTGTAGGCGTTACAGGAATATGGTGTTTCTTTCTGTGGCACATCATAGTTGATCGCGATACGAATGCTTTGCTACACACATCGCATTCATATGGTCTTTCACCAGTGTGTAAACGTTTATGAATAGCCATTGGACTAAATTGAGTAAATGTTTTTCCGCAAACGTCACATCTATATGGTCTTTCTCCTGTATGCGATCTTCTATGACATCGTAAAGCTGCCCTTCTAGCGAAAACTTTTCCACACATTTCACACTTAAAGCTCTTCTCACCAGTATGCATGGTGGAATGAATTTTAAGATCAACGCGCGTTAAAAATCCTTTACCACATACTTCACATAAATAGGGTTTTTCACCAGTATGTATGCGTAAATGTGTATTAAGATAACTCTTGCTGACAAACATTTTATTACACACTACGCATGGGTATTGTCGATTATCCATACCCGAATGTATTTTCTGATGACTCTTACAAAGACCTTTAGTTATAAAACCTCTACCACAAATTTCACACATATAAGGCTTAACACCCAGATGCCTATTTTGATGATCCAATAAGGATTGCTTAGTTTTAAAGTTTTGTCCACAAGTACTGCATGGATAAGGTTTTAAGTCCGAATGAACTCTCTGATGGACAATCAGATAGCTTTTACACTGGAATCCTTTGCCACAAGTTGAACAATTATAATCAAACTGACCAGTATGAGTTGCCGTATGTTGTGCAAGACCTATCTTGCTACGAAATGCTTTTTCACAAGTCAAACATTGAAAAGGTTTTTCTCCTGTGTGTTTGCGCATATGTTCTTGTAATTTATAATTAGTTCTGTACTGTTTACCACACTGAGTACAAATTTTTGGTGTCCACTTTTGCCTGACAGTAGATTGTTTTTTTTGGATATCCGTATTATCATTGCTTTGCGATGGAATTAATTCTGACTCTATTACCTTGATGTCCTTATTATCTACCTTTATTTTATATGAATTACATTGTTGTTTGTGAATATTTAATACTTCTACACTTGTGAAATATAAACCACAAGAACATGAACAAAAGTGTTGTTCAAAATGTGCTGCTAAATTATTTGTTTCCATTGCAGCTTCATTACAAAAAGGACACACATACCAATGAGTACCAGTCTCATCGACGGTTGGATTATTTAATA